ATATATATATATTTGACAATAATACCCCAGTGTATTTCTTGGGGTCAACGTGGCAGTCAGATCAGGTGGTTTATATTGTTGGAGAAAGTATATGTAACGATTCGAGGTATTTGTATGTAACCAAGGGGAAGAGGTGGTTGTGGTAGAAAACTGGAGAGGGTATGAGGAGAGGCATTGGTGAGTGAGTGGTCCTCTCCCCAGGGGTTCAGGATGTTCACTGATATGAGGCAGGCGACTTCTAAGGAAAGCAGTAACCTCCATCAGCTTTTAGAATGGCACAGATAGTAGTAACCTTGACCAAATTTTCCTTCAGACATGAAATGTAGGGTCATATGTTTGACAAAGAATAAAATGTATACCAGTATCATGTGCTACACAGACAATAAGCTCAGGAAACAATAGAGTTCTTAATAGCAAAGGAAGAAAACCAATAAATTTCCCGTGTTCAATTGTACCTTAGGAGAGGCAGTCCATGAGCATGCCTAGCTGGGGTGGAGATCTTAGTGTCTGAGGTGAAGTTGTCTCCATTGCAGGACGCAAAGTCATTTCCAAAAGAGAAGTCTTAGGTTGGAGTGATGTCATCTGAGGTAATGTCGTTTTAGCAGTGAGATCCTGGACTGGGGCAATATTTGCGAAGTAGAGCTAGGGTATCCTTTTCAAGTTGATACCCACTTGAGTTAATGTAGGTCTTATTTTTGTGGGTCTGTGGTATTATAATGATGCTGAGGCACTTGTGTAATTTGAATTATTGGGCCTGGACCTTGGAATCTTGACTTATAAATACCTTTTAACTCAAGGGGCTTATGGGTGCACAGCTAAAAAAGTGATGTTGGCATCTTTGCCAAAGCCTGACTGGCACAGTTAAAGTTCAAATTAAGCATGGCTGGATCTAAAAGTGTCCAACAGTCTAATGTTTTGCCATATTAGGTGATGAGAAAGCTTCTGTTGTAAATAGGTTTTAAATCATATGACCTGATTTACGTGTATATTGTTAATAGGGTGTCAGGTTGTTTGCTATTTAAAATATCTGTGCCTGAGGTTGGGGCTCTACAATTAAGCTATAGGCAGTTACTATGGGCCCTTTGCCTCAGTTGATGGTTTGGTTAGTGACATGCAAGTGGGTGAGGTCTTTGGATTGCAGGATTTGTATCAGCCAAACTCAGTGGCATTTGAGCCCTAGCATTTGCCATGTTTGGTTGAAATCGTGGCTTACTTGGAAAATTTGGGGCTCCAGATTGCAAACCAATGAAAACACCCAGACTAATAGTGATCAACAGCCAATGAGATAATGTGCAGCTGCATCTGACAGTTTGTGTGTGTGTGTGTGTGTGTGCGTATGTGTGTGTGTGTGTACTTGTGGTGGAAGTTTAGACCCAAATGGGTCCCCTACCAGATTAGCAAATGACTGGACTGTGAGGAAATCTATGGTTAATTGATCTCAGGGGAGTATACACCCTGGACAGGCCTCCAGCTCTTATGGGGATGGGACAAGATAAAAAAATTATAAAGATAGGGGAGACATAATTAAAGATCCTCATATATAATGAATCTTTGTATACATGAAGACAAGGCATAGCTCCTTTAAATATAGGAAAAGATAACCGAGAAAGATTTTAGAAGTTGGCATGAGGTGCAAGTCATCCAAGGCTCCTAGAATTAAGAGAGATTAAGACCTCGGACAATATGGACACCCATTTAGGGGTCTATTTGCTGGACTCGAATTTGAAAAGGAATTGTTTGAGGAGACCATTATATCTCTCAACTAAACCAGCTATCTGGGACCCATCAAGGACATGAAAGTTATATTGAATGCCTCTTTCAAGAGACCAGCATTGTGTCTCCTGAGAAGTGAAATGTGTTCCTTGGTTATTGTTAATGATGTGTGTAACTCTGAAGGAGATAAGGAGTGTCCTGGAAAATTCTCATATTTTGTCCTAAGAACTTTTGATCAAAAGCTAGGATGAAAGAAGGAGAGATTACTTGGGACCAAGAAGTCTTCCAATAAATGAAATTACTATTTTTCCTCTGAAGGTGGACTGAAATGTCCAGTACATCAATTGATTATTGTTTTCTACCTGTTAGTGGCTATAGTTGAACAATAAGCAACCCTGGGCAATATGTGGGATAGAAAATTTAGAAACATCTTCATTTATCATGGACATCTTTTCCTCTAAACTGTTCTTTACTTGCCACTCCTTCACAATGCTGTCTTGTTCCTTGTCCATCAGGAACCAACTACATTTTTTTTTAAAAAAGATTATTTTTAGAGCAGTTTTAGGTTCATAGCTAAACTGAGGGGAAGATGCATAGATTACTCATATACACCTTAACCCCACACATGTATAGACTTCTTCATCAATGTCAATCACCATGATGGGGTGTGTGTGTGTGTGTGTGTGTGTGTGTGTGTGTGTGTGTATTTTTTTTTACCAAAGATGAACCTACATTGACCTATTAGAATGACCCAAAGTTCACAGTTCATCTTAGAGTTCACTCTTGGTGTTCTACACTCTGTGGATTTGGACCAATGTATGATGACATGTATCTATCGATATTTATATCTCCGTCATTATGGTATCATATAGAGCATTTTCACTGTACTCAAAATCCTTTGTGCTCTGCTTATTAATTTTTCCCTTCCCCACTTTTAATCATAAATCTTTTCATTGTCTTCATAATTATGTTTTATGCAGAATGTCATATAGTTGGAATCATATATTATATAGCCTTTTCATATTGGCTTCTTTTATGTAGTAGTATGCATTTAAGGTTTCTCCATTTCTTTTCATTACTTGATAGCTCATTTGTTTTTAGTGCTGAATAATACTCTGTTGGCCAAAATGTGCCACAGTTTATGTATACGTTCACCTACTGAAGGACATCATGGTTGTTTGCAAGTTTTGGTAATTATGAATAAAGCTGCTGTAAACATCTATGTGCAGAAATTGGAAGTGATCCAAAGGAGAACAATACCTACTGGAGTGTATTAGTTATCTATTGCTATATAACTGATTATACTAAAACTTAGCAGCTGAGAACAACAGAGTTCTGTGGGATAGGAATCTAGGAGCAGCTTACTGGGTGAAATCAAGGTGTCAGCTAGGGCTGTAGTTATCTCATGGTTCAACAGAGGGTATTTGCTTCCAAGCTCAGTGATGTGGCTCTTGGAAGACCTCAGAAAATATTTTTCCAAGCTCACTCATGTGGGCCTCTCCATAGGCCTACTTCATGATGTAATAGCTGGCTGGTTTCCCCCAGAGTAAGGAGAGTGAGACTTAGAATCCAAGGAGTTAGTCTTTTTATAACTTATCTTGGAAATGATGGCCCATCACTTCCACTCTTTTAGTTAACTAGAAGCATGTCAATAAGTCCAGCTTATATGCAATAGAGTCAGAACACACAAGGGTGTAAATAGCAGGAGGCAGAGATCATTAGGACCCATTTGACCCATTTTAGAGGCTGCCTTATACAAAGAAAATGTAGAATTGGTTATTAAAAGATTAGAGGCATTTTGTTTAAAGTATGAAATAAGCAACACAATGTGGGGTTTAAGACATATTTGCTAAGATAACTGGTATTGTCATTAAGTAATAGTATTTTGTAATTAAACTCTGGTATTTACTTATCCATGTTTTATAAATCTATCATTCAAATGCCTATATAACTCTACTACAATTGCATCTATATAGATATCTTGGATGCATTAATAAGATTAAAAATGAGTTTTATATACTAATTTTTGATTATAGTAACTATTGGTTTTTAAAAATAACTGAATAGGACTCTCGGCTAAATCTTTTTCTTTTATTTTCCTTATATTTAGTATCCAGAAGGTTCATCTTTGGAGTCATTTACTGTCAGTATCGTGCAGTTGCTTGGTCTTAATGTGGGATTGAGTTTTGATAACTCTGACACCTGCTATTGTTCAGGAGATGTTTGCATAATGTCACCAAAAGCAGTGTAAGATAATTTTCTTTATGAAATATGCATATTTGTTAAATTTTGTTTGTTTGTTTGTTTGTTTAGGAACTTTTACACTTATAGAAATAATTGACAATTATAGAACACTCTATCCAACAACTGCAGAATACACATTCTTTTCAAGTGCAAATGGAACACACACCAAAAATAGGTCCAAAACTTCCCAGGACTTTCCAGGCCTGGGGAAAAAGTCTCTTTCTCCTCTCTACCTTCCAGTCTGGCTTGTATTTTCTTTTTCTGTCTTGATAGAAAGCACCCACTAATGATCAGCCAGATGAATTATATATTTTCAGTGATTCTGCATAAAGTTTATTGCTTTGATATATGCATTTAAAACTGGCATTGTACAATATAGCGACAAACAGTACAATTCAAGTTAATAATTAATTACAAAATTTTTTATTTAGAAAGTCATTAAATTGCAAATAAATAACACCATGACCCATTGAGAGACTGCCAAAGAGAAAGAAGCTTTTAATTTTAGCACCATTAATAATACTTTTGCCTTGTTTTTAAACAAGGAGCCCTGCATTTCCATTCTGCATTGGTTCCTACAAGTTGTGTAGCCAATCCTGGTTGTTTCACATTATCACCAAGACTTGATGTGCTTAGTATGTTTAACTTGAATCATTACAGTGGGTATGTAATATTATCTCATATTGGTTTTAATTTGCATTTCCCTAGGAGCTAATAAAGTTGAACAGATTTTCATTCTTGATAGCTTTGTATGTCTTCTTTGCCGAAGGGCATATTCAAATATTTCGTCCAATTTTTAAAAATAAAAACTAAGATTTTTATGTATTGAGTTGTAGGAATGGTTTATATAGTCTGGCTATGAGTCATGATTTTCTTCTTATAGTGCATTTTTTAAGAAAATGTTTTTAATTTTGATGAAGTATACTTTATAAATTTTTTTCATGCATCATGTTTTTATAGCTCTAATATTCAGTTTTATGATATATTTTGAGTTAATTATTGTGTATTTGTTTCAGTTCATTTTTATTTTTGCCATATGGCTTTCCAGTTATTCCAGTACCACCTGTTGAAAAGACCATCCTTTCCCTCCCTTAATTGCCTTAGCAACTTTGTCAAAAATCAATTGACCACAAATGTGTGGAATTTTTATCGGAATTTCAATTTTATATCAATAATCTGTATGTCTACTCTTATGCAAAAACATAGTGTCTTTATTACTGTAGCTTTATATTGAATTCTGAAATCAGGTGGTGCAAGTCCCCAAGTTTTTCCACCCTTTGCATTTTCATATACATTTTATTACCAGCTTTCTAATTTTATGAAAACTCCTGTTGAGATTTTGAAAAGTATTGCATTGTTTAATTGTGTAGTTCAATTTTGGGAGAATCTCTATCTTAACAATAATAGAGTCTTTTGATCCTTAAATATGGTATATGTCTTCATTAAGTAGATCTTCTTTAATTTTTCTCAGCAATGTAATTGTATTTTAGTTTACAGGTCTTGTACTTGTTTTGTTGAATTTATCCTTAAGTATTTTTTTTTTTTTGCTATCATGACCATAATTGTTTTCTTAATATCATTTACAAATTCTTCATTACTAGAACATAGAAATATAATTGATTTTTGTATATTGACTTTGGGTGCTTCTAATGTGTGAAATACATCAGAAGTTCCAGGAGATTTTATGTGTTGATTCTGTAATATTTTCTATAAACAAGAATATGAACATGAATAAACATGAATGAGAACAGTTTTATTCTTTCCTTTCTAGCTGTTTGCCTGTAATCCCTTTTTCTTGCTTAATTAAACTTGAAATAATTTCAGTCTAATGTAAATTGATGTGGTGACAGTGGATATCCTTGCCTTGTTTCCAACCCTAAGAGAAAAGCATTCAATTTTCATAAGTATTATGTTAGCTATAGTTTTTTTTTAAAATAAATGTCTTCTTTTCTAAAATAGTATCTTTCATTCCCTTGTACATTATGTTGTTTTATTTTTCTTCTTCATCATTCCAATAACTATCAGACTTATTCTACATATTTACTTCCTGAGCTTCATACTTTTTGTCCCTAGGAGGTTCTACTTTTTACTGCTTAATAGTTGCCTAGAAGAGTGCTCAGTAAATATGTTGCAAATAATGACCTAGTCAGCTCAGTATATTTTTCTCATTATTTAATTTTATCTCCTGATTACCAAATTTTTGTTAAAACAGAGTGTAGGTAACTAAATTTATTTATTTATTTATTTATTCTTCCTTTTGATAGTTTCTTAGAAGAATTTTGAGTATTTTATTTATATACTTTATTAAAAATCAACTTTATAGATGTGTGATTTGCCCACAATAAATTTCACATAGTTTAAGTGTACGAGTTTATGACTTTTGACAAATATATGTAAATCTTTGAACCACAGTGCCAATCAAGGTATGCAACTTTTTCATCTCTGTAGAAAGTTCCTTTGTGACACTTGGCTGTCCATCTTCCACCCTTAATGCAGGCAACACTGACTTGATTTCTATCACTACAATTAGTTTACCTTGCTCTAGAATTTTATGTAAATTTACTATGTACTCTATTTTGAATGTTCACTCTATAAGACTGTGATTTCTATGAATTAATTAAACGTTTTTCTTTAATTACTTGAATATATTATAGTGGCCCTTTTTAAGTACTTGTGTGCCAAATCTACTACCTGGGCCATCTCAGTGTTGATTTCTATTCACTACTTTTTAAAAATATTTTTTATTTAAGTATATAAGTATAGTTAATATACAGTCTTATATTGGTTATATTGTCTCAGATGTACAATTAGTGATTCAACATTTTTATAATGTGATCACCCCACTAATTCTGGTAATCATATGCCACCTTGCAAACTTATCACAATTTATTGACTATATTCTTCTTCCTCTCTTTATCCATCTTCTAACCCCATTCTTTCTGGTAATCATCATTTTGGTATCTGTTTCTATGAATATGTTTTTGTTTTATTTTGTTTTTAGATTCCATGTATAAGTGAAATAGTTGACATTTGTCTTTCTCTGTCTGAGCTATTCTACTCAGCACAGTACCCTCTAGGTCTATCCATGTTGTTGAAGATGGTAAGATTTTGTTCTTTTTTATGGCTAAGTAATATTCCATTGTATATATGTACCACCTCTTCTTTATCTAGTCATCCATTGATGGACAGCATGGTTGATTCCATATCATGGCTATTGTAAATAATGCTGCAATGAATATATGGATGCATATGTCTCTTTGAAATAGTGTTTTGGGTTTCTGTTGATAAATACTCAGAAGTGGGATTACTGGATCTGTCTTTGTGTTTTGTTATAGTCTTTTATTTAATTTACTTATTAAAATTAAGTTCATTGGGGCAACATTGGTTAATAAAATTATATTCATTTCAAGTATACAGTTCAATAATACATCATCTGTATATTGCATTGTGTGTTCACCACCCAAAGTTAAATTTCCTTTGGGCACCATATATTTGACCCCATTTACCATTATCTACCTCCACCTTTCTTCCTTTCCCTCTGATAACCACTAAACTTTTGTCTGTGTCCATGAGTCTCTGTTTGTCTTGTTTGTTGCTTTCAGTTTCATATCTCACACATGAGTGAAATCTTATAGTTCTCAACTTTTTCAGACTTACTTTGCTTAGCATGATAATCTCAAGACCCATCCATGTTGTCACAAATGGCAGTATTTCATCTTTTCTTATGGCTGAGTAATATTCCATTGTATATATGTTCCACATTTTATTTATTCAGCCATCTATTGTAGGACACTTTAGTTTCTATGTCTGGCCACGATGATGCATGCTGCTATGAACACTGGGGTACACATATCTTTGTGAATAAATGTTTTCAAGTTTTTAGGATAAATACCCAGAAGAAAGATTGCTGGGTCATATGGTAAATCTACCTTTAATTTTTGAAGAACCTCCATACCGTTTTCCATAGTGGCTATACCAGTTTACATTCCTACCAACAGTGTATGAAGGTTTCTTTTTTCTCAAAACCTCTCAACACTTGTTATTAGTTGTTCTGTTGATGATAACTGTTCTAATAGGTGTGAGGTGGTATCCATTGTGGTTTTGATTTGCATTTCTCTAATAGCTACTGACATTGAGCAACTTTCCATATGTCTGTTGGCCATGTGTATGTCTTCTTGGGAGAAGTATCTTTTCAGATCCTCTGCCCATTTCTTAATTGAATTGTTTGTTTTTGTTGTTATTGAGTCATAGGAGTTCTTTATATATTTTGGGTATTAGCTCATTTTCATTTGCAAATATATTCTCTTATTCTGTTGGTTGCCTCTTTGCCTTGTTGATGGTTTCTTTTGCTGTGCAGAAGTTTTTAGTTTGATACAGTCACATTTATTTATTTTTGCTTTTACTTCCCTTGTCTTTGAGGTCAAATTCATAAAATTCTCTCTAAATCCAAGGTCCATGTGTTTAGTATCTATGTTTTCTTCTATTCGATTTACTGTTTCAGGTCTTATATTTAAGACTTCGATTCATTTTCAGTTAATTTGGGTATATGGTGATAGAAGTCTAATTTCATTCTTTTGCATGTGGCTGTCCAATTTTCCCAGGACCATTTATTGAAGAGGCTCTCCTTTCTCCATTTTGTGGTTTTTGGCTCTTTTGTTGCCCCATTTATATGAAAGTTTAATTCTGGATTCTTGATTCTGTTACACTGGTCTGTGTGTCTGTTTTTCTGCCAATAACATATTGTTTTTATTATTGTCACTTTGGGGTATAATTTGAAGTCAGGCAGTGTGATACCTCCAGCCTTGTTCTTTTTTCTCAGGATTGTTTTGGCTATTTGGGTTTTTTGTGGTTTCATATAAATCTAATTATTTTTTGTTCTGATTCTTTAAAACATGCCTTTGGCATATTTATGAGGATTGCATTAAATCAATATATTGCTTTGGGTAATATAGCCATTTTAAGTTGATTCTTCCAATATATGAAAATGGAATATCGTTCCATTT